CTGTAAGAAATATGAACTTGACTTTCCAAGGCCCCTAATTAAATAATGTGTGACAGTTTTAAATGTTATTTGGTCATTACCAAAATAGTCAGTACAATATGACAACTTTAACTGAGGAGGATAAATATTTCCTGGGGCCAAAGCCCTCCGTAGGGTGTGTGGTTGGGGAGAGGAGCAGTCTAAAGAGATTGCCCAAGTAGGTGCTGAGTTACGGTGATCTTGAGTGAGTATGCCTCTGCCCCTGCTGAAGTACCTAGCACAGTGGAAGTGGAGATTGCCCTGGCTGAGAGCGAAAAGATCTATTTCCAGGTACACATCTCGTTAGAAGCTAGGCTCCAAAAGGAGATAGGCAAGAGCAGGGGAAGTCATTTCAACTCCATATCCTCTCATGGCCTCAGGGGAACAGAAGCAACGGATTATTTTCCTATGAATGGAATCCTATTTTTCATTTGTTGTTGTGTTTCCAAAAAGTGGGTTAGCATTCAAGTGAAATGAATACCAGATAGTCACTGTTATTAGGAGAATTAAAGTGTTCAGGTAACTTAATGTGCTTTAGATGAAATAAAAAATAGCTGAGAGACATGCCATGTTGTCCACTAAATTTTCCTCCATGGATAATGCTGCCTCTGGACAAATAAATATAGCCATAGTTACCTGAACAGTAGCTGGGTTTTCATTTGAGTGACTCCAGTGAGGTTAAAACATGAGGTTGAGGTTTTCAATCATCCTGAGATGTGTGTCCCTGGGATTTCCCTCTTTGGAGATGGCCCCAGGAAAGAGAAAAACAGGAGGATGACTGATGGAGCTTAGAGGTATTCTCATTTGAATTTTAACAAAATTCCTGTTTTGCTCTTCTTTAGTTCTAATTTTCTTTAATTCATCTAAATATCATTGTGTTTATTAAAAAATTATTTATTGAGAAATTCCTTTAGCCAGGAATTTTCCTATGCCCTCAAGGTGGCATAATTTTATAGTACTTGGCTCAAAGAAAGAGAGGCTTCAGAACTAAGGCAAGCAAAATGGTAAAGACAAAGTCTGGATGATTTGGGCAAAGAAATCTGGGAGTCAAGCAAAATTTAGTTTTCATAAAAGTTGAATCTTTAACTTTTTAATATGTAAAGGTGGGGCAGATTTCTCTTCTTAGAATTTTTTCCCAGAATAAGGATCCAGTTTTATTTCCTTAAAACTATCTTCACTTTTAGTATAATTGAGATTGCCTTTTTAAGTTAATTAAATGTCACAACTCCAATATAATTATTTTGCGAATAATTATATTAGCTGTCTTCTGTTTTCATCACCAGGCCACGCTTTTTTTTTTCAACATTGACACCTATCTTAAAATGTTTTTTCATGGGCTTTATACAATTCTATAACAATTTTGGTAGGAAATAAATTATTTTAATATGCAAATTAGCTCTCCATGATAAAATATTTCCTAAATAATGTTTTAATATTATCATTTTATTTTTATTACATACAGTAGAGAATTATACAGCTTTCTGGAGTTCCTATTATGCCTGCTGTCAACTGGCAGCAATAAGAAAGACCCTTTTTCAAATTATTTAATAATGCTTCAGTGTATTCTAATTTAGATATGTTTGGCCTTTAAGATATTTACAAACCATTTGGGGGCTTTATTGAAAAATTATACCATTTTAATTCTTTCATTAAAAAGCAATGTGGATGACCTTAGAAATAGAGAGGAAATTAACAAATTTGAACACTTTCGTTTGTAAATTGTATGCATATGTGTATGTTTTTATATAATTTTAATAATAGAATACATGAATTATGTATACTTTTTTAAACCTGGCGTATTATCCGAAACGGTTTAGTATAAAAAGATGCACTGAAACATCTTATGGGAAGTCCGTAATTTCGTAGGCAAACCTGTTTCTTATTCCAATGTGTTACTTGCCTGGTTAGCCCAGATGATTGAACCATGGGACAAAACTGATGAAGGTTATGGTTTCAATTTCTGGGTAGACCAGTTAGCTTTACTCTGTTTCATGGCCACATGAAGGGACTAAATGACTTAGAAAGAAAATGTGGATGCATTAGTATGAGCTCATCTCCTCTGCAGGAAAAACACACCCATAGCACAAGACCTAGGTTTGCGCCAATCTCTGTCATTAGTGTCAGAATGAAAAGAAACAAGAAGAGGAAAATCTCGATCCTCCAAATACAAAAGTGAATGCAATATAGCTTTCATCTCCGTAATATAACATAATGACCTGCCTTTTTATAGTTACAGTTGAGGGGTTCTAGCTGATCACCTGCCTGAAATTATTGCAAGCCTGGTGGGAAGCATCTGAGGAGGCACAGTCATGTTTTCATTTCACTAGGAAATCATTTAGCAAATTACTGCTGTTCTGTAAATTACTGTGCTGCATAACTTTCATACTGAGAAACTATTTTCTTTTTCCATAAAAATTGCAGATGAAAGGTTTCTACAATAAATGACCTGTGTTTAAAACAAAATCATTCCTAGAATTTAGAGAATGTGATATAGCATTTCTCGTGTGGAAATAAAAACAAATACATTCTTATTACTAATATTACACAATGACATATTCTCTGGTAAAGACAGTTTTTAATTTATTTACTTTGTTCCCCATTGAGGTGAATGCACAGAGGCTTCTGGGGGTGAAATAGCAAGCTAAATACTTTTTTTTTTTTAAAAAAAAGGAGAAGGACTAATTTTGGAAATTATAGTTCTTAAAGACTCTGTTTCGTATCCTGAAGAGAGTCCCACAATTGGTAATCAGCCTAAATAGAACAGAGTATTGGGAACAAACAGTTTTTATTATGCCAAGTCTTGTTTAGGATATCAATGTGAAGGGAAGTAGATCAGTTCTTTTAATTTTGCATTGAGGTAATATAGGCCCAAACATAATCTGGGGAAATGTGGCCTTATCCCCACAATCATTATGACTAAGAGGTTCACACTCCAAATAGGATGATCACTGCTGATGTGGCAGAATGCATACAAAACGACTCATTCCTCTGGCCTTTTCTAGAAACACTTGGATAATGGAACACAGAGCTGGCTCATTTCATTTCGGTGGCAATAAGATAGAAAAGCAGAGGCAGGATAGAAAGCAATTCTTCAGAGAATGAGGTCCCACTTTAGTGCTGCCTTTTCATAAAAAAAGGGCTTAGAAAGAAGAATGAATGACTGATACTCAGAAAGACTAGTGAATCATAAGTAAACCCTCCCAAACTTAGACATTGTTATGAATAATGAACACAAAATGCTTCCATGGTAGCTAAAATTTAAAAATAACAATCACGATAGGTGCATATTAAAATTGTCATCTTATACCTAGAACTAGTTATAATATCATTAGACAAATACCTGATATTTGAATCTATAGTTAAATGAAGTTGAAGGGCAAAAGATTCAGAAGAATGGCATGAATATGATTTCACTGTTGCAAATACAAGCCCTAAGGAAAAGGTTAAAAGAACTTTTATGACTCATTCTGAAGATGAGTAGACTAAGAAGCAATTTTTATGATTTTCTTCCAGCCTTTCTCAACTAGTCTTCTTCTTCGAAACTACAGAACTTAGAACATATTTTAACTAATACTTTTCAATTTCTCCCATGGATGGTGCATAACTAGTACCATTCTATAAATATTAAAGAGAGGTTAATTCATTAATACAAGAGTAACTTACAGCACAATTCTCATTTGTAATGGAAGTTGATGGCAATCGGACACACAGTGGATCACAAACTAATGTTAGCAAAACATATGGAAACTAGAAAATGCATTTTAAAGCAAAGTATATACATATATATATAAAATACATAAGATAAAGAGTAGATTTCCTAGATATAAATTAATTAGCATTATAATAGCCTATTGAAGAAAATTGTACATTTTCCTTCTTTGAAGGATTTCGAGGTTTGGATTTACTTTATTCTCACTGGAATGGGATGAAGTGCAAAGCCTCTGTAGGCAGAGTTCTTTTCCCAACCTTAAATGTGTGTTTGGCTCTTTCAACAAGGAACTATTCAAATACCTACTGTGGTGAAGCCCCAATGTTATAAGGGGAAAGAGGAAGATACGGTACTGCAGTTAAGAGGCAGTACCTGAGACCTATTTCTTCTCTGAGGAGCTCAGCTTCACATGGACAGAGAGAAAGCTGACACTAAAGGAATCGAGAAGAGTAACATTTGAACCTCAGCTGCTTAGGGGTTCTTCCAAAATATATTTTGTTATATCCTTAATATTCATCTTTTTCTAAAAGATAATGCCTGTTGAATATAGAACACTGCTTTAAGAATGCAGAATTATCAATCTGAAAATAAATGATTATTATTCAGGACTACAGACAAAGATACGGAAGACTAAATATTCATAAGGTAGATTCAGTGGAAATTTTGGTGTTTTACTTTCTAAAAGCAACCTGGTTTCTTATATCTATTTTGTGATACATGCAAACATAGGAAAACCCTGGATATTTAAAGTTTTATTAGTTAACTTCCAAATAATTGAAGTCCTACTGTACATTCTTACTCATAGTGATAATGTATTAATTAACATGAATCTAAAATTCTTCACAAAGATCACTATTGACTTGGATTGTGCATTTAAACTATAAGTGCCTTTTTGTAATGATACTTTAAGGAGTATTTGGACAAGGCATCAGTCATACTGTGGATACAATCTGCTTTCTCTGGCAGCTTATTATTAATGTAAAATGAGAGTCCATATTGATCTTTGCTTATGCAGGAAATGCACACGAATTCCATGAAACTGCAAGTGAAGAGTGAGGGGCAAATTTTGGCTTCTAATAAAACAGTAGCTTGAATATTTGAGTACAAATCTCTCTTTTGAAATAAACGAAGATATCTTTTACTTGCAGAACTTTCCATTGTAATGAAGTCATGGCTAAAACAGTAAAAATAGGATAATACTTGAAAGTGAATGAGTACATGAATAAGATTTTGTGTTGCTTTACCTAACTCCTGCCCTCTTTTCCATTTACAGTTATTCAAGAGCAAGAAAATGAACCTGTGCCCCTATCCTTGAGCTCAGACATCTCCTTAAATAAGTCACAGTTAGATGACTGCCCAAGGGACTCTGGTTGTTATATCTCATCAGGAAATTCAGATAATGGCAAAGAGGATCTGGAGTCTGAAAATTTGTCTGACATGGTACGTAAGATTACTCTCACAGAGCCAAGTGACTGAACACACACTCTCAACTATATATCTACAGATGCATTCCGTTTTAACTCTTCTTGAGCTAAAACATCAAATAGGAGAGGAAGATAAATATTTGTAAATAAAACCTAGGATTTAAATGTTTTAATCTGAGTAATTGTACATAAAATTTTGTATCACTAACATTCCAAATTATTGTCAATAAAATACATATTTATTATTTTAAATGCTATGTGTTAATATTTCACTTGCCTGTATTAGAAAGGCATAATGTAAGACTTTGGTACGTGTGACATATGCTTCATTTGACTTTCTTTTACAAGTACAATATCTGCAAAAAACAAAGTAACCTTTTTTCCTACCTGCCAGTTTTGAATTTGTATATGTTATTGAACAAATAGTAATAGAGGATTCACTGTTGAAACAAGTTGTCCAAGCAATGCCATATTCATTTTTACACTTATTGGGAAAGTGTGAGTTAATATCAGACACATTTTATCCTGATCCACAGTGGAGTTTCAGTAATTATATTTTGTTGACTTCATTTTGTTTTCTAGTATAAAAGTATAGATAATGTGTTGTCACTTCTGATCTAGTGAAACCAATTGTAATAATTGTACAGATGTTTTGTCTTTAAGTGTAAATATTTTAAAATTTGACATAACCTAATGTTAATAATAAAAAGAACTATTTGCATATTGCATTTTCCAGAGTAGTGTTACTTGGAGGTTTTAATATTGGACTTTAGAGAAAATATCTCCTCCCAGATACCCCTTACTTTTTGTAATATAAGTGCATCCCATAGCAATAATCTCAACCTCCTCAACTTCATCTGTCCCCTGAACCCCAGTGATGTTTATCTGACTCACTTGATACCCCCAGGAAACTTCAATTCCGCATAACCAAACCATCGATTTTCTCTACAAATTTGTTTCTGCTTTTTTATTGCCAACTCCTCTTCACTGCTACTAACACCCAGCCAGTCATCAAAGCAGAAAATCATTTCTTGCTTCATCTCACATATGTCCTCCTCATACAAATTCAATAAGTAATCAAGCCCTATGGATCCTACCTCTAAAAATGCTTTCATATTCATGGCGTTCTATCCATTTCCACGGTGGTTGTCTTGCTTTGGATCCTCATGATCTCATGCACGGAATATGGCAGTAACTTTCCAACTGACCCCCTACCTTCTCATCCATCCTCCACACAGCCTCCGGATAAATCTTTCTAACCCATGAATCAAATCAGGTACTCTTCTGCTTGAAAGTTTTGGATGGCTTTTCATTGTCTTTAGTATAATATCCAAATTTTCTTCCAGGCTGCATAAGGTATTCCCCAATTGCTTTGTACCTACAGTATGAATTGTAACTACCCCCTCACCACCACTACCACACACACACACCTCTCAATCTACACTCCAGTCATAACAATCGACTTGCAATTTTCTTCCCTTTGTGACTTTTCATATTTATTTGCCTGGAGTGTCTCCTGCTATTTTCCACATTAGGAAGTCTCCCTCTTTTCTCCATCCTGAAGGTCACTTACTCTGTGAAGCCTTCCACGATTCCCTTTGGTGCCCTGTTCTTTGTGTTTCCATTCCACTTGTCAATTGTGGGTCATAGCACTTGTCATATTATGCTTTATATATTTGTATGACAATTGCCCTTCCGTAAGACTGTGACCTCCTTGTGACAGAGATTATTTTGCTTAGCCTTTTTAATCACCGGTGCCTAACATAATACCTGGCACACAGTGGGCACTGAGGAAATATTTGCTAGAAGGCATTGAATATGATGATTATTCCCATAGAACAGATTCCATCTTCCTATTTAAATTGATCCATTCAAACTTTAGGTAAGTACCTTCCAATGTGACCTATTTTTTTTTTTAACAAATAAAACATAATACCTTAGGAAAAAACAGGAAACACACAGTGTTATTTCAAATGCTGGAGGATATTACACTGTTAATGTCTGGCATATTTTCCCAGACTCCTGAGATTTAACTGCCTGTGCAGTGCCCAGGTGAGGCTAATGCGCCTATCTGCCTCTATTCTTCCCGCTTCACAGCATGAAATGGGGTTTCAGTTTCAGTTTTCTGAGGTGCTGCCTCCGTTCTGACCCCACTCTTGCTATGGCTACCACTCCAAATCGATTATTCTGGGCGTCTTTAAACACAGAAGTCACTAACCATGATTTTAAAACTTTAATCAACCTGCTGCCTCAGGGAGATCAAGACAGGATAGCTTCTTCATGGAGATGCCAGGAAACTGTAAGTTGGGGAGCAACTAACAAACTACTTGACTTTAAAACGGTGGCAATCGCCCATGACGCATACTCAGCCACGACTTCAATCACTTAAAAATGAAGGTCTGGTATCCAGTCAAGGATGTAGGGAAATGCTTTTGAGAGGAAGTGCTGCAGAGGCCTTGAGGAGATTGAAGCAGAGGAAGAGAGATTGGATTCCTTAAAAGAGGAGACACCATGAGGCTCAGGTGGTCAGGAGGAAGGCCTCATCACCGAGTTCTGCACTGAAAAGGACACAAGAATGGCAGACGTATACTCCACATTAAGGGAGCGCTGCTGTCCTCACCTTACCCACAGCTCCTTACAATCCCCTGCAGCTCTAGCCTCAGCTCCCTCAACATGGGGGAGTGAACATCAACAGAAGGAAGACAGGTTTTCTCTCTCATGCAAAGCTGAACAAAGAGGAGCGGAAAGATAAGAAACAGCTCACCCAAGTTTGGGAGGTAGTGGAGGAACTTGGACCTTCTGCTGCATTTGGCTGAGTGAGAGACATGAGCCCAAGCCTTTTAAGATGGCTAAAGGATTAACATTATAATAATTACAGGATCATGACACTGGCTTTGTGTTTCTAGGTTGAACCCTGACGGCATTCCCAGTCTCATTTGTTTATTTATTCACTCAGTAATATTTAAACTTGGAACGTGTATGCTCTCCAAGAAGATGCCAACAAAGGTCTTTTTAACGATACAACTGGGTGAAAATCATACCATAGCTTCTCTCATTGGAACCCACTGAGTCTTTCACGTATACACAGATCAGAATATACTGTTACTCTGATCCCAGAGATTCCGTATCTTTGCAAATTCAAGTATGTTGTGACAATATGCATGGTTAGAGGAATTTTATTCCAGATAAATAAATAAAATCCTCGTAATAATTTTTTGATGAATACAAAAATTAGATCATTTAAATTCTGAGTTCTCCTTGTTGTAATGTAAACATGAATATATCTACACTCTGAAGTATTTTATTATAATCTTTTCTCTTTTAATCAATTAAATTGCCAAGCAAGTTAGTTCAGAAATAGAATAACTTTTAAAATTTCAAAATGATAGGCAGCTAAAGATTATCAGGATTTCAGAAAACGTACAATTTACTGAGGTTACAGTCAAGTGCCTTGCAACTTCCTGAGTGAGGCTAAATTGATGACATTTCATGTTGAGAAACTTCCGTTACAAGCAGAAGTTCTGAGAAAAATAATATGAAGAAATTTTAGATACTCCATCACCTCACACACGCACGCACTTCCATCCTCCCCACAACCATCAAAGAAACTTGAATAACTAATTTGCATACAGACTTCAAGTACTCTTTCATAAAGTGGGAAGTCACGCTACAATCATGTAAAGGTTGAGAGCAAAATGAAAGGGACTAAATGTAGGTAAAAGAACAGCAGCTTCTAAACTTGACCAGGTTTCTTGGCTATGGAAATGAGATAAAAGCAACACTCCTTTTACGTGGCCTCCTACTTAACTGCCGAATTCCTCTGATCACACCCAATGTTCACCTAAACATAGAGACTGGAGGAGATCATGGAGTTGAAGCATCTGGTTTGAAAATTGTGTGACTCTGGGCGGGTCATTTATCCTCTAAGCTTAGTCCTTTTTTCTTAAATCTACAAAATGTTGTCAATTAAATGAGATAATGTGTGTAAAGCACACAGCACAATGCATGTAGTATGTGCATAAAAACAGCTACTGCTATTATTTCCACAACGTCATTTTTATTCATTGATGTCTGGACATTCAGTGGAAGCAGTGCACAGGCTGCCACGATGTAGGCATGGACTTGCAGGCATTTGAAGTTCTTAAGACACAAATTGTCTCAGAGCTATGACCACTGTGTTTGTCAGAAGCAATGAGAGACAGTCAGCTGGCTTAAGAGAACTTCTCAGATGAATGACCATTTCTTCATGAAAGAATATTTCTTTGTTTACTCCTAACCAGCTTAGGAAGAGGCTGCGCTATATTTAGCTTTCATTCCTCACATCTAGCATGTGATAGGAGTACTCATCTGTTTTTTTGTTTGTTTGTTTTTGTTTTTGTTTTTGAGATGGAGTCTCACTCTGTCACCCAGGCTGGAGTGCAGCAGCAGGATCTTGGCTCACTGCAACCTCCACCTCCTGGGCTCAAGCGATTCTCCCACCTCAGCCTCCCAAGTAGCTGGATTACGGGTGTGCACCACGGTGCCTGGCTAACTTTTCTGTATTTTAGTAGAGACCGAGTTTCACCATGTTGCCCAGGGTGGTTTTGAACTCCTGAGTTCATGGAATCCACCTGCCTGGGCCTCCCAAAGTGCTGGGATCACAGGCGTGAGCCACTGTGCCCCGCTGGAGTACTCATTTGTGAAGAATGAAGGATTTATAAATAAATGCCTAATGAATAAGTGAAAAAATAAAAGTTTTGGGGTTATTACTGCTATTAGTGCACCTTGGACCCTGGTCTCCGACACATTATGGAGTCATAACTCATTGTGCTATAGGCAGCAGAGAAGCCCTTAGGAAGGCAGCTTCAATGTAGATATTTACCTATTTATAAAGCTTAAGAGCATTTAGTCAAATAATCTGCCATGGGAAATCGAAGGGCAGAAAGAGGCTGAGAGGCTTCCAGGAACATATATGGCCTTTGAACAACTCTCCCTTCCCTATCTTCATCATGCAAACCTCTCACATTTGAATTACCAACAGTTAGAGTATCAGAAGGTCTGTGTGACGTCCATTATAAGTTAAGAAACCATGCGGGAAGAATGTAAAAAAATGACATTAGTATATTCCGTGGTTTCTTTTGACCTTCTGGGGTCCCTGATGGGCCTGAGTGCAAAGCAGCATTTCAGAACTTCTCAGATGAATGACCATTTCTTCATGAAAGAATATTTCTTTGTTTACTCCTAACCAGCTTAGGAAGAGGCTGCGCTATATTTAGCTTTCATTCCTCACATCTAGCATGTGATAGGAGTACTCATCTGTTTTTTTGTTTGTTTGTTTTTGTTTTTGTTTTTGAGATGGAGTCTCACTCTGTCACCCAGGCTGGAGTGCAGCAGCAGGATCTTGGCTCACTGCAACCTCCACCTCCTGGGCTCAAGCGATTCTCCCACCTCAGCCTCCCAAGTAGCTGGATTACGGGTGTGCACCACGGTGCCTGGCTAACTTTTCTGTATTTTAGTAGAGACCGGGTTTCACCATGTTGCCCAGGGTGGTTTTGAACTCCTGAGTTCATGGAATCCACCTGCCTGGGCCTCCCAAAGTGCTGGGATCACAGGCGTGAGCCACTGTGCCCCGCTGGAGTACTCATTTGTGAAGAATGAAGGATTTATAAATAAATGCCTAATGAATAAGTGAAAAAATAAAAGTTTTGGGGTTATTACTGCTATTAGTGCACCTTGGACCCTGGTCTCC